CCAGGAGTTGGAGGTTGCTGTGAGCTGTGATGTTACAGCACTCTACACAGGGGGACAGCTTGAGGCTCTGCCTCAAAAAAAAAAAAAACCCTGAAAATCACTTAATATGTGTTTTAGTAATCCTCTAACATAGGGTCCTATTCATACTAATAGTTAAGTACCATTTGGAAGATTCCTCAGAAGATTCCTATACTATCGCAACATGATTGAACAGTTATCTTAAACTAAAGCAAAAAACTCAGAAAAGTAACCTCCCCAAAGTTCCATAACTGGCTGGATAGCTAGAGGCAATGCAAACCCAGTTGGTCCAACTCTAAAGCTATAACATCATCTTCCATCACGTGCCACTTCCATCCTCCCATACTGCAAACACAAGTGATGGCGATGAGCAGTAAACTCCAAGTAAGAGGCACATGCTGGCTGGCACGCACTATTGCGAGCTCTGAGGGTTTCTCAGAGCAACCAAGTTTTCCTATCCTTTGGCCATCTGTTTACTGAAAAAACGCTGTCTCAGTAATTTTTTGAAAGCCCAGCAGCAAGCCTGGCATCTTTACACCAGCAAAACATGTTTGTAATCAAACTACCACGAAGAAGAAAATGCATTTAAAAATGAGTAAAAGGCTATTCACAAACTAACTTGGAATTTAACCAAAATTAAATTTGCTCTAAGTCCTCCAGCAAAAATTTTCATAAGCATTAGACACAACAAACTTAAAAAAAAACACACTATTACTTAAAGCAACATTCAAAAGAATTCAGTAACAACTATGCATTTAATAGCCCTATAAACACAGCTATGAATCAGTTTAACTTTTTTAACATGCATTTTAATAAGCCTCCTTTTTTTTTTTTTTTTTTTTTTACCTGTACTGTTTTTAATTGTTGGGTCTGTAACACAGAGGGCTGAGTTGTAGTATTAATCAGCTGGCTTCCTGGGGTCAGTGCTGAGACACCAATGACAGGTTTCACCTCTGGCCTCCCTCCAATGGTAACTACTTTAATCTGCTGCGGTGGTAACTTAGCATCTCCTGACTGGGCCTGAGTTGTAACTTTCTGAGCCTGGGGTAGTTGGCTATGGGGTAGTGCTAGAACAATTGGTGAACCAGACTTGCCCAAAGTTGTTAAAATTAACTTCTGTCCATCTGGTTTAAGGGTCTGATTGCCAAGTTTAAGATCAGATGTCTGTGATACTTTGTTTAAAATAATCTGATTGGCTGATATAGTCACAGGATTCTGAGCACCAAGTTTTTGAAGGCCACTTGGAAAAGCTGGTTTCACTGTGGTATTAGAATCTGCTTTAGTAATTGTGGTATTCACTGCAACTTGGTTAGTGTGGTTACTGTACACTGTGATTGGTTCCGTGGAAATGGGCGTGGCTGTAGAGTCACCAGTAGAATTTATGTTGACAATTTCTTCCAGTTCTGTCTCCATGGGAATTGGGGATGAAACAATAACAGCCTCAATACTATCATCATCCACTAAAGTTATACCAGTGTCCATTATCTCCTCTGGAAGCAAACTATTCACCTCGGCTGGCACCACCTCCATGATCGTTCTCCTGCTAGAAAGTTGATCAGGCACTGCAATGAAAGTTGAAAAACATGGTAAGTTGCTAGCTTTTAAAACACACTGAAGAGACAAAAAAAATTCAAGAAGAATACAAATGGCAAAATAACCATCTTACTGATATATAATTGAATGAAGGATATGCTTGATACTCTTATTTTTAACTAGGTCTATATTAATGCATTTGTTTCTTATTTGCATTAAACCATTTTAACACATCCTCAGCCTTTAAGAATCTGAAGTATAAGTCATATGGAAAACAAAACTAGAAGCAAACACTCTTATTCACCTTGTCTCAATCCAAAAACGTCCTGCATTCAACCATCACTAAATCATAAAATCACTTGAAACTCCCTTTCAATGCCTCATAAAATTATTTTATCTTTGATGTGCCTGATCATCTTTCCAGTTTTCCCCCTCTCTCTTTGGCAGACTTGAAAACTGCTAACCACACAAGAAATAAAGATTTAAATATTAACATACTGGAAATTATTTTAAAATCTCCAATGAGCTAGGTCCTAATATGGGGATACCATACCCTTTATAAAAGTTCATTAAATACCCCAATTTCATGTTAAAGAAGTTTCTAGAGTAATCCATCTCAGCTCAGGTGGTCTTTTAAGTTTGATCAATTGGTGTAATACCAAGAAAACCTCTATTTGGAAAGAAGATCCTCCTCATCCATTTAAAAATGTCAAAAAGGGAACCATTTAAGAGGTGTGTAGCCATTCTTCATAAAGGAAAAATAATGGTAATAATAATAAAGCAGATTATGGACAAATTAGAGCTGTGATGCTTTTAGCCAAAGGTCATGTAGAACTTCCATTAAAGGAATCAATTCCATTCTCTTCCCACATTGAAGACAGCACATCATGTTTATGATAAACAAAATAGAGAACATCAAAGATCCACAGAAACCTCATCAGCAGCTTTCTTTTCTTCCCTTTTTTAAAACATAAAGATACAAGATACATCCCAAGGTTAAGAGTAACACACATGGCTCGGCGCCTGT